CAACCCTGGAACGGGGCATATAACAAAACTAGGAATTCAAGCAGAGAGGAAACGGAGCCACGACGCAGCGTGTAGCAAAATGAGGACTCGTCTAGCAAATCCACGAGCCACAAATCATTGATGTCGTGCTGGGCGGCTGTGCTGGGGGTTACGCTGCTGGTCGTAGGGAGTCGTGTTGGGGGCTTGTGCTGCGGGGTTATGCTGGGGGGTTGTGCTTGGAGGTTGTGCCGGGACATTGTGCTGGGGGGTTGTGCTGGGTGGTTGTGCTGGGGGGGGTGCTTGGGGGTTGTGCCGGGGGTTGTGCCGGGGGGTCGCGCTGGTGGGTGTGCTGGGGGCTTGTGTGCGGGGTCGTGCTGGGGAGTTGTGCTGGGGGGTTTTGCTGGGGGTTTTGTGCTGGGGGGGGGATGCGGTCGGGTTGTGCTGGAGGGTTGTGATGGGGGGGTTGTGCTGGGGGGTTGCGCTTTGGGGTTGTGCTCGGGATTGTGCATTAGAGTTGTGCTGAGGGGGGTGCTGGGGGGTTGTACTGGGAGTTTGCTCTGGGGGGTCGTGTCAGAATGGTTGTGCTGGGGGGGGGTGCTGCGGAGTTGTGCTGGGGGTTGTGCTGGGGGGTTAAGCTGGGAGGTCGTGCTGGGGGGTCGCGCTGGGGGGTTCTGCCTGGCGGGTAAGCTGGGAGTTGTGCTGGGGGGGTTGTGCTGGGGGGTCGTGCGAAGGGGCTGTGCGGGAGGGGTTGTACTGGAGGAGGTGCTGGGGTTGTGCTGGGGGTACGTGCCAGGGGGTTGTGCTGGGGGTTGTGCTGGGGGAGTGTGCGGTCCGGTTGTGCCGGGGGGTTGTGCTGGGGGTTGTGCTTGGAGGTTGTCTTGGAAGGGCTGTGCTGGGGGCTTCTGTCAGGGGGTTGTGCTGGCGGGGTTGTGCTGGGGGTGTTCTGCTTGGTGGTTGTGCTCGGGGGGTTGTGCTAGGGGGTTGTGCTGGGGAGTTGTGCTGGAGGGTTGTGCTGGGGGGACGTGCTTGGGGGTTGTGCTGGGGGAGGTGCTGGGGGGTGCGCTGGGGTCGTGCTGGGGGATTGTGCTGGGGTTGTGCTGGGGGTTTTGCTGGGGGGTTGTTCTGCCGCGGGGTTGTTCCGCCCGGTGTCGTGCTAGGGTTGAACTGGGTGTTCTGCCGGGGTGTTGTGCTGGGGGTGGTTGCTGGGGGGTTGTGCTGGGTGGTTGTTGGAGGGTTGTGCTCTGGGGTTGTGCTGGGGGGGTTGCTGGGGGGGTTGTGCTGGGGGATTCTGCTGGGGGGTTGTGCTGGGGTGGTTGTGCTGCGGGGTTGTGCTGGGGGGTGTGCTGGGGATTGTGCTGGGGGGATTGATGAGGGTTAATAATACTGAGGGTTTTGCTCGGGGGTTGTGCTGGGGGATTGTGCTGGGAGTGTGTGCAGGGGGGGTTGTGCTGGGGGGTTGTGCTGGGGGGTCGTGATGGGGGGGCGGTGCTGTTGTGCCACGCTGCGGGGTTGTGCTGGGGAGTTGTGCTGGGGTTTGTGCTGTGGGAGGGTGCTGGGGGTTTTGCTGCCGGCTTGTGCTGGGGTGTGTGCTGGGGGTTCTGCTGGGGGGTTGTGCTGGGGGGCTGCGCGGCGAAGTTGTGCTGAGGGGTTGTGCTGGGGGGTTTGCTGGGGATCGTGCTGGGGGGTTGTGCTGGGAAGTCGTGCCTGGGATTGTGCAGGGGCGGGTTATCCTGGGGCATTGTGCTGGGGGTTGTGCTGGGGGTTGTGCTGGGGTTGTGCTGCGGGTGTGCGGGGTTGTGCGGTGGGTTGTGCGGGGGGGTTGCTGGGGGGTTGGGGTTGTGCTGGGGGGTCGTGCTGGGGGTTGTACTGGTGGGTTGTGGCGGTGGGGTTTGTGCGGGGGGTGCTGTGTGTTGTGCTTAGGGGGTTGTGCTGGGGCGGGGGGTTGTGCTGTGGAGTCGTGCTGGTGGGTTGTGCTTGGGGGTTGTGCTGGGGGCTTGTGCTGGGCGTTGTGCTAGGGTGTTCTGCTCGGGGGTTAGTTATGCTGGGGGTTGTTCCTGTGGGGTTGTTCCTGTGGGGTTGTGCTGGGAGGTTGTGCTGGGAGGTCGGTCTAGGGGTTGTGCTGGGGGGTTGTGCTGGGTGGTTGTGCTGGAGGTTTGTGCTGGGAGGTCGTGCTTGGGGGTCGTTTTGGGGGTTGTGCTGGGGGGTTGTTCTGGGGAGGTGCTCGGGGTTGTGCTGGGGGGTTGTGCTGGGGGTTGTAAGGGGGGGTTGTGCCAGGGGGTCGTGCTGGGGATCGTGCTGGGGGGGTCCTGGGAGGTGTCATGCTGGGGCTGCTGCATGGGGGTCGGGTCGGGGGTTGTGCTGGGGAAGTTACGCCCGGGGGCTGTGCTGGGATTGTGCATGTTGTGCTGGGGGTTGTGCCGGGGGTGTTGCCGCCGGGGGAGAGGTCGTGCTGGGGGGTGTGCTAGGGGGTTGTGCGGAGGGGGTTTGTGCTGGGGTTGTAGTGGGGGGTCGTGAGGGGGGGGGGGGGGGCTGGGGGGTTGTGCTGGGGGGTTGTGCTGGGGAGTTGTGCCGGGGGGTCGTGCTGGGGGCTTGCGCAGGGGGGGGCCAGCATTGGGGGTTTGTGGGGGGCTTGTGCTGAGGGGATATGCTGGGGGGGTGTGCTTGGGGTTGTGCTGGGGGGGGGGGGGGGTGCTGAGCTGTTTGTGCTGGGTGGTGCGTGTGCTGGGGGGTTGTGCTGGGGGTGGTGTTGGGGGTTGTGCTGGGGGATGTGCGGTGGGTGTGCCGGGGAGGGGGTTGCTGGGGTGTTGTGCTGAGGGTTGTGCTGGGGGATTGTGCTGGGAGGTTGTGCTGGGGGGGTCGTGCTTGGGGTTGTGCTGGGGGTTGGGTTGGGATGTTGTGCTGGGGGTTTGTGCTCGAAGCGAATTGCTGGGGGGGTGTCCGGTGGGGTTGTGCTGGGGGGGGGTGCTGGGGAGTTGTGCTGTGGGTTGTGCTGCGGGGTTGTGCTTTAGTGTTGTGCTCGAGGGTCGTGCAGGGGGGTTCTATGACGGGGGGGTGTGCTGGGTGTGTGTGTGTGTGCGGTGGGGTTGTGCTGGGGGCTTGTGCTGGGGGATTATGTTGGGTGGGTCACAAGGGGTTGTGCTGGGGGGTTGTGCTGGGGAGTTGTGCTGAGGGTTGTGCTGGTGGTTGTGCTGGGGGACGCAGCGGTGGAACTGTGATTGGGGGGAGGTGCTGGGGTCTTGTGCTGGGGGTTGTGCTTGGGGGTTGTGCTGGGGGTTGTGCTGGGGTGTTGTGCTGGAAGGCTGTACTGGGGGGTTGTGTAGAGGTTTGTGCTGGGGGTTGTGCTGGGCCGTGATGCTGGCGTGTTGTGCCGGAGGTCTGCACTGGGGAGTCGTGCTGGGGGGGTGCGATGGGGGGTTGTGTAGAGGTTTGTGCTGGGGGGTTGTGCTGGGAGTCCAGGGGGGGCTATGCCTATAGGGGGTGTGCTGGGGGTTGTGCTGTGGGGGGGTGCTGGGGTGTTGTGCTGGGGGTTGTGCTGGGGGCTGTGCTGGGGTTGTGCTGGGGGAGAGGGGTTGTGCCTGGGGGTTGTGCTGGGGGTTGTGCTTGGGGGTTGTGGTGGACGGGGTTGTGCTGGGGGTTGTGCTGGGGGGGTGTGCTGGCGAGGTTGTGCTTGGGGGCGTGCTGGGGGGTTGTTCTGGGGGTTGTTCTGGGGGGTTGTGATGGGCGGTTGTGCTGGGGGTTGTGCTCTGTCCAAGGGGGTTATGCCGGGGCGTTGTGCTGTTGTGTTGGGGTGCTGTGCTGGGGGGTTGTGCTGGGGGGTTGTTCTGGGGGGTTTGTGCTGGGAGGTGGTGCTGGGGGGTCATGCTGGGGTGTTGTGCTGGGGGTTATGCTGGGGGGTGGTTGTGCTGAGGGTTTGTTCAATGGGTCGCCGAAAGCCCCCATAGCAGGGTAGTCCTAAGCGCGTGAAACGCATGTGGAGACGCCTGTGGACGCTGGATAGAGCGTCAGGGAAGGCTGCAAGCTCGAGAAATGTAGCTTCGCAGAAGTCCAGGAAGACCTCCGAAAGAGCTTCGGAACAAGGCTTCCGAGAAACGAATTTGGGACGAGTAGAAAAAAAAACGCCTTCGGGACATGATGTAGCCCCCCCCAGACACACACCCACACACACACACACACACACACATCCAGACACAACCCCCCCTGACAAAAAAACAGCACAAACCCCCAGCACAACCCCATCGCACAACCCCCCAGCACAATCCAGCAGCACAATCTCCCAGCACAACCCCCCAGCACAGCCCCCTGGCAGAACCCCCAGCACAACCCCCCAGCAAAACCCCCCAGCACAACCCCCAGCACAAACCCCCAGCACGACCCCCCAGCACAACCCCCCAGCACAACCCCCCAGCATGGCCACCCAGCACAAACCCACCGCACACACACACACACAGCAACCTGGCAAAGGACCCGCTGGGAGCCCCGCGCCAGGGGAAGCAAATGCCGCAGGGCCTCTGGCGCAAGAGGCGTGAGGGATAGGGGGGAGGGAGGAGCGAGGCGGGGACCGGGAGCATGGAGAAACGACGCAGCACGTTGAAAGAGCGATGAGTGCGGGCAAGACTTATATCCATATCCACTGCAGCTTGGAGTTTCGGGCTCTCTTCCCCAGAACCCCGAGGCGCACTGGATATGGATAAGAATCTGGCCCCTATAGAATCGATGTTGTCCATATCCAGTGCGCCTCGGCCTTGCGGTGCCCCTTCCAAGAAAGTCCACGACGCACTGGATATGGATGTAAGCACTGCCCGCAATGAGAGGAGAGACGGGCACGGGAATGGCGGATGGAGGAGAAACGGAACTGAAGAAGGCGGACTGCAGCAGCGAGAAAAACGGGGAAGCAGAGGGAGGAAGGAGGGAGCAACGGATAGACAGAAGAGGAGCTGCGCAGAAAGCCCTTTGGGGCTCTCAGGGGGCAGAACGGGAGCCCTCATGGGAGACCTCGGGGCACTTGCTTCAGAGAGAGAGGGGGGGGGGAATCTGGGAGGAAGCACGGACCGGGGAGGGAGGCACACGAGGAAGAGCAGACAGCAGGACGGGGAGAGAGAGAGTGGAACAAGCAGCACGAGGAGGCTGCCCTCTTTTGCCCGCACGGCCGTCAGACCGGCTGGGCCGCCGCCTCGGAGCTCCCCCCCCGCCACAGCGCCGCGTCGTCGCCGCAGTCGTCCACCGGCGCCACCTCCACGGACAGGAGGTGCTCGCGCGTGCGGTCGGTGCAGCGGCCCCGGGCGAGCTCGTACTCCACCAGGGCCTCCGACAGAGCGGGGTGCCGCTCGGCACCCGGGACGCCCCCCAGCTCGGAGAGGGCCCAGAGGGCGATGTCGCGCGCCCTCGCGCCGTACGAGGGCAGCTCGACCTCGGCCTTGGCGCCGAGGCGCGAGAGCAGCTCCTCGTCCCGGTAGCCGAAGCGGGCGAGCGCGGCGAGGAGCTGGGCCACGTCCACGCCGTTGAAGCGCGGGCCGCCCCCCGCCTCCCCGCCCAGCAGCTCGCAGGCCCTGTGCGACACCACCGCGAAGAGGGGCCCGTCCTCGAGCGCCGCCCTCGCGTGCGCGGTGGCCACCACGGCCACGTCGCACGGCGCGAGCTCCGCCGCCCTCGCGCCGGCGGCGCCCGCCGCCGCGCGCAGCAGGTCCGCCGCGGCCGGCGCCGCAGCCAGGAGCGGGCGCGAGCCGTCGTCGGCCCCGGGGCGGAAGGCGGGCCGCTCCGCCCCGGCTGCCGCGATCACGCGGGAGGCCAGCAGCGCCGCCGCCGCGAGGTCGCCCGTGGCCCAGCCGCCCGCGCCGGGCGGGTCGGCCAGCGCACGGGTGGCCTGGCGGAGCACCGGCACCCAGAAGCCGGGGTCGACGTGCCCCAGCGCCCACGCGCACCGCATGGCGCCCACGAGGCCCTCGGGCGGCAGCGCAGACAGCGGGGCCTGCAGCGCCGCGTCGCAGACCGTGCGTGCCAGCAGGCCGCCCCGAGGAAGGCCGGGGATGGATGCCAGTGCCCGCAGGAGCACGGCCAGCTCGTGGGCGCCCAGGGCCGCGACCTCATCGCGCTGCAGGCCTGCCTCCACGGCCCGCGCGAACGTGGCGGGGGCGGGCCGGAGCTGCGTGGACAGCGCCCGCAGCAGCGGCAGGAGGTACCTGGCGGGCACGCGCCTGCCGTGCAGGCCGCACGCCGTGAGCAGCTCCCCGAGCGCCCGCACCGCCTCCGGGTCTCGGTGGCCTGGGGGGAACGAGATGGGGGAGACTGGTTCGGGGGGGGGCCTGGAATCGGCGATACGTCTCCGATGGATCGGCGACAGGCTCTCGGTGGCGCAGCCGCACGCTCCTGGGCGGGATGACCTATCAGGCCCCTTATCGGCGATGAATGGGTCACGGGGGTCAACCTGCACTCCCCGCCCCCTGAGCCCACATAATCCCGTCCTTATATCGGCTACACGCAGGAATGACCCTGGGTATGAGTGACCTTTTGGTGCGCGGTTTTTGGGGGGGCGCGAGGAGGCCAAACCCAAGCGCGCATTCGGCGATCGGGGGGGCCCAATGGGCGCGCACCAAAGGTCTCTCTGGCGAAAGGTCACTCTTTGTAGACCAAGACCCCCGACGTCGTGATTTGTTCATATAACGTCGACCCCCGGCGGCCTCGACCCATTCCCAGGGACCAGTTTGTCATCCTGAGTCCTGCTTTGACAGTCCCGAGGCCCAGGTAAGGCCCCCCGGAGGCTGAAAACAGCGGGGAACCTCCCGCCATGATTCTGTCCTTCCAGGACTCTAGTTGAGCAGGGACCGACCGTCGCGGCATTCCTATAGTCATACCACGACTTGTTCTTAGAACCCAAAAATGTTCTAGGAACAAAAACAATGTTCTTAGAACATAACCACCATGCGTTAAAACAATACCATATCCGCCAGAAATGTTCTAAGAACATTCCGTGGAAACCACAAAAGGTTCTTCGAACAGTGTTTGGTAGGGCTATAGGCGAGCCAGGATGCTTCGCCACTGCTTGATCGAGGGGGTCTGGGAACGGTGCCCCTGCCGGCCGCTCCGGGCACAGGTGGCGTACGCCGCCGTCAGCGCGCACAGGTGCCTCGGGTCCAGCTCGGAGGCTGGCGTCCTCGCGGCCGCCTCGAGGCGCCGGCGCGCCGCGGGCAGCAGCCGCAGCGGCCCGCGGGGGCCGAGGCGCGCCAGCCCGCCGAGGGCCCTGGAGAGGTCCAGCAGGCTCAGGTCCTCGGCGCAGGCCGCCACGCGCGCGTCGAGGTGGGCGGCCGCCTCCCCGCGCCCGGGGAAGGCGCCGCCGCGTGCCGCCTCCGCCAGCGGCGCCCCCGGCCCCCCGCGCGGAGCGCTGCTGGCGAGGCCCCGGGCCGCGAGCTTCCCCAGCGAGTCGAGCAGCGACGCGGCCTGGGCCGCCGCCGAGGGGCCCGCGAGGACCGCGCCGTCCAGCGCGGCCGCGCGCGCGGCCAGTGCGCCGAGCACGCGCTCGTCGCGCACGCGCGAGTCCGCGAAGGCGCGGGCCACGCCGGCCAGCCGCGGCAGGTCCGCGGCCCGCAGCCGCTCGCAGGCCGCGGCGCCGAGCTCGCGCAGGCGTGCAGCGTCGCCGGCGAGGAGCGCGGACCTCAGCTGCGCGGGCAGGCGGGGGCTGGCCTGCGGCGCCGCCGCGGCGGCGGCCATCGCGCTTGCGCGCGCGCGCGCCGGGAGGAGGCGGCGGAGCGAGGCGGGCTGCGGGCGGGGAGACTGCCCCGTCTCGCCGCCGCTGTCCGGGCAAGCAGTCAGAGCTGCAAGTCATAAGCAGTAAACAGTCCACCGGCCCAGAAACGTGGCAGGCTACAGAGGGGGTGGGCCCATGCGGAGGAGGGGAGGGAAAGCAAGAATGAGAAGGTAGAGAAACGCAGACGAGAAGGAGCCAGGAGGAGCCAGGATGACGACGAGGAGCGAGAAGTGAGGAGGCCGAACGAACGAGCAAACGAACCAGCCTCGGAATTTCGCTGAGGCGCCCACAAATTAGCCTTCGCTTCGCTTGCTGAATCGAATCCGGGGCTATAGCTGTGGTTATATGGATGATTTGTCGCTTCGATTAGAGGCCCTGCTGTGACCATTGAACAATCGGGCCCGACCGCACATCGACCCCACGCAGAGGACATCAGTCGGTGTGGCACTCGCTGAAAATTGTGATGGGAGAAAAAGACGTATTGCTCGACGCGGGGAGCCCCATATGTGCACGTCAGCAACTGGCGCTTCCGTCCGTGTCTGAGTACAACAATGTTTGCCAGCATGGACAACAAGCAACGAGATGCTGCAGTGTGGATCTGCGCGATTCGTACTGTGATCTGAATGTGGCGAATGCTTACCAAGTGGTGAGCTGTGAACCAAAATGCTCGCGCAACCACACCTCCCTCCAACACGCAACTTGACTTGCTAAACTAAAGCGGTGGCGATTGCGATTCCCAGCGTGTCAAAGACCGCGCTGGCGCGCGGGCATTTCGATGCGGGTCGGTGGCTCGGGCGGGCGCCGTATCAGGATGACGTCGACCACGGGGGCAAGGATGATGCTGGTAGCGAAGGTGGTGGCGACGATGACGATGACGCAGGCAAAGCCAATGACGGTGCCGGCGCTGGTAGCTCCGATGACGGTGATGTCGGTGATGAAGGTGTTTGGGCGATGATGGCGGCAATGGCGGCGATGGTCGGTGACGATATCGTGATGCGGCGGCGCTGGTCAGGGTGATCACGAGGACGTGCGCGCGCGCAGAAACCCCAAACGCCTGGCGAAATCGTGGCTGAAAAATACGTGTTCCGTACGTGTTTGAAGACTTGTACTTTGACAGGTCTCGGAAACCAGTTTTGGGGGATGGATTTCGACACGCTCGCGTGCCGCATGATGCTGTTTGATACAGATTCGAATGCAGGTTCTGGACGAGATTACTAAAAACAGATGGTTCCTAGCGATTTCAAAAAATGGGCGCGGGCAGACAATTTGCAACTTTCGTGCTGATACACAGACGTGTGCGACAGCGCTTATGTATTCAAATTCGTGCGACATCGGTGTGCATGTCGGTATGATTTCGAGATGTGCGCGCGGAATTTGTCCATTTTGCTGCAGAGGAAGAACCTTGAGACCAGACCTTTTTTGCAATAAAGGAATGCGCGGGCATTGCAATTTTTGACAGGATGAGGGGGAGCGACAATCGGTGTGGTTGGGATGGTAACGACTTCAAGAAGAAAGCGAGCGGTGAGAACTTATCAGGTGTAATTAGCTACGTCAAAATGGGTGTAAAGAGATACAGAGAGAGAAGGTCATAATGTGCATTCTTCTGGAATAAGGGGCATCTGAGTGACGTGAGTTGTGGGGTGCAAGCTATATGGCGCAATAGTTGTGGTGCAGCAATTTCCAAAGCGGCACTTAATGCGGGTCGGTGACTCGGGCGGTCGCGGTATCATGACGACGTCGGCAACAGCGGCAACGATGATGATAGTAGCGGAGATGATGGCGATGATGACGATGACGAATGTGCCCGCGCTGGTGACTACAAAATCGATGATGATGTCCATGTGTATGTGATGAAGGTGCTTGAACGATGCACGCGCTGGTGACGACAAAATCGATGATGATGTCTGTGTCCAGGACGTGCGCGCGCAGAAATCCAAGAACCTGCCAAACGTTTGGTTGAACCACATGTTGTTTGAAATACGGGTTGTAAAAACCCCATTTGAACTTAAAATGCTTCGGAACGTATTTGCGTTGGACGGATAACGGCACTCTCGCGTAGCGGCGCGCCCGTGGCCCGCATGCTGTTATTTGAAACGGACTCGCGCACTGGGCGCATATTGAATCAAGCGGGCGCACCACGTGGTGAGATGAGAATGCTGGTTCTTCACGAAATTATTCTTTATCGAACAAAAAACAAACACACAAAAACGTGGTTCTCAGGCGGTTACAACAAACGCGCGCTGGCAGACAATTCGCAAGAGTTGCAATGAAAAAACGAAGGGTCTTTGACGTTAACATGTTGAAGCGCTTGCAGCACAACGGGTGAGGTGGACCAGCTTTCGACATGTGCGCGCGCGTGGGTTTTGTGCAACTCGTTCTAAAAAGACCCCTTGGAATTCTGAGTAAGCTCGTTCGCAAACGGAAACAGTTTGCGATAAACGCGTGCGCGCGGAACAAATTACCTCGCCTTTGACTACCCTCGCTTCAAAACCGGAACCAAGCAATACCAACTTGCTCGCGGGGAGCGTGACCTCGGCATGCCCGCCGATCTTCTCCAGACTCTAGCGCGCCTCCCGCCCCTTCGTACTGCCCAGCCCAGAACTTCCAAACTCTGTCCTGAACAACCCCCGATGTCGGAGCACGCGACGAGCTAGTATCATACCGGAAGAACTCGGTATAATACCAATGGTTTCCGATATAATGCCGAGTGCCTCTCGGCCTGGCCCGCACGCGTAAAATAACAAGCCAAACGTGATTCGGGTACAAAAACCAAACGCGTTTGGTTCCCGGTCCTTTGCCAAACTATTCCACCACGTTCAAGTACGACTCAAGTGTTCACATCATGGTGCCAAGTTATCCTGGCACGATGCCGAAACAACGTTTGGGGCGGTATCTGGGAATTCCGTGGCTTTGCAGTGTGATGCATGTGATGCAGCGGGTGGGGGGTGACGCGCGCTCTGCAAAACTAGAGGTGCGCGGTATGATTTTGTTGTGCTTGGAAGCGCAAGCGGGGGAGGTAAATCTCCCGCTGATTTACAAGGATGAAAGGGGGAGGGGACAGTACCCGGCCTGCCTGGGATGGTACGAATTCAAATGGAAAGCGAACGATGGGGCAGACTCATATATGTAATGTACAATGTCTCAGGGGGGAGCGATGACCCCGGAGGGGAGACTGTGGTGGAGTCGATTCTTCTTTCGGAAATAAAATATCTGTGGTGTGCGCTAGGCAGAGCGAGCCATGTGGTGCAATATGTGTGGTATGAGCTATGTGGTGCAAGCTATGTAATGCAATGTTGTGTAAGCTATGGGTGTAAGCTAGGTGGTGCTACCTAAGTGGTGAGACCGATGCAGCTTCACACATGTGGTGTGAGCCATGTGGTGCAACCGGTGTGGTGTGAGCGATGGTGTGTGAGTTCCGCGGTGTAGGCTATATGGAGCCCTCGGTGTGGTATGGGCTACGAGGTTCCAGCTGTGTGATGCAGCCCACGCAGAGTGAGCCGTGCAGCTGACGCACGGTGCGGCCACGAGGCAGCTACGGGCGGCAACGTGGGCCAGACCGACCAGTGCCCCGGGCGGCCGCGAAGCGGCGACGGGCGGCAACGCGGCGAAACCCTCGCCGGACCCACCCAGCGCACGAGGCGGCCACGAGGCGGCCGTGGGCAGCAAAATGGAAAATCCTCGCCAGACCCATCCGATTCCCCAGGAAGCCAAATCAGAATCCCGAAGTGCAAGCCCTGTTTGAGGAATGATAGAGGCTCTTGCGACGTAGTGCTCTCTGGCAGAGCCCAGTTCGAGCGCCCCAATGCTATGCCTGCTTGCATCGGGATGATTTGGGGACCCCGGAAGGAGAGGGGTCGAAGGGCACCATAAACCAGCGTTTCCCCTGACAGGTCCCACGATCTGGGCGCGAACTGGCGAGTGTCGCACTCCCTGGTGGCTCGGCTCCTCCCTGGGGTGCCCACATGCTACGCTTGGCATGGGACAACCAGAAGAGAAAAGCCGCCTGGAGTGGGGGGCCACATGCGAACCCGACCCCTACCCCCCCGCGACTTCTGAGAGGGGGGGGGGTCACTTCATTCGGGAGCTCCCGAGCGAAGTGAGCCCCACCCTCCCCCTCAGAAATCGTCGGGGGTAGGGGTCGGGTTCGCGTGTGGCCCCCGATGGAGGGCCAAACCGCCACCCGCCTGAGCCATCCCCGCAACCTCACCGCGAGAGCGGGCGCGTGCAGCGCCCCCCCCCCTGCGGCGGGTCCTCCAAAGGGGCTGCCCACATGCGCCGTCGCTGCTGCCGCGCGCGGTGATCAAAAAGGGCTCTCTCTCTCCAAGGAGAGGGGCGTCGGGGGTGCCGAAGCAGGCCAAACGCCTGGGAGGTCCCGACCGTCTGGGCGCGAAAACGGGCCCGTGATGCACCATCTGGAGGCTCCTCGGTTTGGGTGCCCCAGTGCCACGTGTGCCACGCGTGCGGGCTTCCGATGGCCCTCAAGAGAGAAGAACCGGGGGCGCCGAAGCAGGCAAACCGCCGTATAGAGATCCCCACACTCTGAGAGCAAACGGGCCCGTGATATACCCCCTGCTGGCTCCTCCTTGGGGCTGCCGAGCGCACGCCTGCTTTTTCGCGGCGAATCAAAGCCCAATGAGTCTGAGTGTCAATGGATGCCTGTGTCAATAGAACTGTATGCCAGTGAGTCCGGGTGTCAGTGGGCGTGAAGCTCCTGAAAATAAATGAGCCTAAGTGTGAGTAAGTCTGAGTGTCAGTGAGTCTGAGTGTCAATGGGCCTGAGTGTGAGCACATATGAGTGTGCCTGAGTCTGAGTGTGATGAGTGAGTCTTAGTGTTAGTGTATAATTGGACTGTGTGTGAGTGAGTGGGTCTGAGTGTGATGCGTCTGAGTGTGAATGGATCTGCACATGGGTGCGAGTCAAATCATGAGAACGTCGGAGTATAGAAAGGAGAAGGCGGGAAGA